CTATATCCTTGTTGGGAGTCAGTCATAACAAAATATAACAATGTACAAGTTTTATAATGCTTCTCCTCTGGCATAATGTCCACGCGTAAAGAAAGTAGGCCTAGAAGAGTAATTTTTAGTCGACATCTGCATATTTTAAGGTGTTTCGAACATAAAAATTGCATCAATACCTGACCAGTTATTCAAAAAAGATTAGAAATCGTCATCATAATATTACAATATTAATGAAAACTTTGGAAAATAGATGTTAAGAATTTACCATCCAATCCATCAATTAATGGAATATCCAACACTATAAACACAACATTGGCGATATTGCTGTACATGTACTGATCCGTGTTTCCAGTAAATGAGGTATCCACGGCGGATGAAATGTCCATGTATATTGGTTAGCAAACATTTCTACGGGGAATCTGAATATTAATTACTTCCTGGTCTGCTATCAAACTACTGTACAACCTGAACGACCTGACGTTAATGAAAAACTATAGACTCGCTCCAGCATGTATTATATATTTATTTTTACCATAGGAAACACGTATTAGATATTAGACTAATACCAGTTGAGGATGAATTGTTTGAATTTAATTGCGTATTTTAAGTTAAAAGACAAACTTTATTAAATTATTTTGAAACATTCCCTACTTTTTTGTTGATGAATGTACGAAATGAAAATCCATTTTATTTGCTTACTAATGATTGACTTATTTGCCTTTATGCATTTGTATATGCATGCCTATATGCCTTAGTACATGACGATTTTTATTAAAATTTAAATACATACTAGGAGTATCGGTTGTCGCACAACGCTCGATTTCGAGCCAACCCAAGTGTTTAAACAATTAAGACAGCGATCATTTTATACAGAGATGTTAGAGGTAATGACAGCGATGAAGGATATTTGACCTGGGTGGGGGGAAGATCAAGTGATCAAATTTGGCAGTGATTATCTGTCGTCAGCTGTTCTCATCATGCCACTGGCTAGATACGCCCACGTCGAGCTGCATGTTAAATTGTTACATGAAGATGCGCGAGTAAAATTCATAAGCCATAAAAATAATATTGTTTTATCTGAATGTTGATTGTGTCAAGGTTGACGCAAGATCGGAAACACGTTTTTTATGCAGATTGTTTAACATTCTTTATCAGTCCTCAGAATAAAGAGTGTCTCCCTTTTCATTTTGCGATACTATGTTTAATTTATAAATCGTTCTTTGTGAATGGTTTATTTCACAGGAAAATATTTTATTGAGAAGATTTGCAACTGAGAAGAATGTGCATAGATGGAAAATTAATTGTTTATGAAATTAATCTTTACTGAAAACGTGATAAGGATGATGCAAAATAGCATCAACTATAAATGATATCAGCAATCAATCCCGTTTAATATCTCCGATAAAAACTACTCGATAGTACAATAACTAATACAAAATCAACTCTGTAAACTTTCCTTAAAAGTGAGACAGCGTACAGTATCTAGTAAACAACCTATAAATCTCGTACGATTTCGATAAACACACCACAATTATTGGAATTGAGTACAACATTTTGTGGCAGTGTTAAAAACAATTATTTACTTTTACCCTAATAGGTCCATACGTCACTAGCAATTTTTGCCTATTTCTTATTTAACATTAACATGTCAATTTTTTGCTTTAGTTTACACAAACCTTTTGTAAGCCAACCAGACTAAACCACAGATGACTAATCGAAAGTGTGGATGTTCCAACGGAATGAACCATGATTCCATATCTAATCCAACGACACAGTCCACGTCCACACATAATAAATTATCTCTACCAGGTTGGCTGGACTCTTTGTCGCATTGCCATCTCCTGCCATAGTTAAATCTTGTGGTAATATACCACCACCTCTGGTTACCCAGGGCAGTAGAGGGAAGTGCTCGCCTTCGTCCTGAAGGTTGCTGGTTCAAACCCAAACTACCTCGATTCTGGACCCAGATACTATATATTCTTTAGTGATTCAATCTTTCAAAATATCGACTTTAGTGAGTAACGGTTACCATGATTACTATAGGTCCTGGCGCACACCGCTGGGAGCTCCGTGTAGTTACGTAGCACCCCTGTAGGTATATATAGTCAATGGTAGCACGTACGCCGTAGCTACATGGCGCTCCCAGCGGTGTGCGACAGAACCTATGGCAACTTCAGCACAGTTGACCCTCCATAGCCTGAAGCCAAAGTGTGAGGAAATGGTGTTGTGTTTTAGCATACAGTAGTATATTTCCAATCCCAATAGGCAAAAATTTCTTTAACTCCATCCATCAATAATAATTCGGCAGACTGTCGAATTCTTGAGGAGATTACACATATACAAGGTTTTTGTCTTCAGATAATTTAAGCTGTTCATTGATCCATAAACTATGATTAAATTCAACAAAAATGTACGTTAGATAGTAACAAGACCAGGGTTTGGACCGTTCACTCAAAAAATTCATAAATGGTAATAGCGTTGAAAACATTCAAATAGAAACATGAATAAGATCAATCATTTGGGAGCAAATTTGTAGCTAACCCTTTTCAATGATTTCGACACCTCATGGTACCTTGATTCGTTGGAAACAAATTCGTCAATATTTCGACAGCTTTCGAAAAATAGCATTTTCTAAATATAGTAGGTAGAAAAGAACAAGTACATAATGTATAACTTTTCGGCTCTTTTAAAAACTTCAGTGTCTAATAATTTAGCTTTAGGTCAGGAAGCTAACTCAATTGACTGTTCAAGTTGGTAATCTCCTAAATGTCATCTTACACATGACTGAATATGTTATCGTGTCATTTGATTTTCAATTCGACAAAATGAATATTCTACAAACCTTTTACAAGACATGATGCCTTACAACAAGATTTCATAATACAACCTTATATGAATTTTTTCTGACACAAAGGGAAAATATAATTTAGTCCACAGCGTCGCATCTTATAATTAATTACATTTACATAAAAAGACTTTCGAGATGTTCTTGAGGAAAAGACACAAAAGATCTGTTTGCAATCCTTTTACGAAGATCATTTTGAAATGTTCTTGGAAACAATATCGATAAAGCACACATGTTTCAACACGTTTCGCAGTCTCTTTCACATATGATCTCAAACACAACGTCTATACTTGGATTACGTCATTTCAAATAATAAGTCGTTGGTATGTTTGTAAAAAAAAATACCTAAAGACAGTACTTGTATTTAATTTGTACTCCTCTGACCACACTGGTTCCAACTCTAACAAAATTCTGGGTAAAAAGATTACCCTTCATAAATGTGTGGATTATTCATCCTCACTGGTTGACGATTAGAAAAATTGAACTTCTGCGAAATAATTAGATGATTTTTGTAAGTTACTGTTATACTTTAAAGTTAATCTTACAGAGTTATATAAATCCTTAGAGTAGTATGTCTGTCATTTTGTCGATGTTATCTTTTATGATTTTCAGAAATCATTTAACAATAACAATTTTCAACGACAACCAAATAAATTTATGTTTCCAAATCGCTGTCTTCAGGCGCCTTTCAGTTGACGACTAACTGGTGGAAAACTAACAAGTGGAAAACTTAGTGGAAGACTTTGGTGTAAACGCGGCTTTCGTTTCAAAGCCAGTCTCACTACGCACTACCGACTGAGCTAACAACTCACCGAAATGTCTCTTTCGTTCAAGGTTAACTTAAGTTTACGCGTGTTTTACTCATTGTTTGAAATACTAGTGAGCAAGTTTGAATATAGACCATTGTATTTGGTTGTAATATTTTTATCTCAGTAAAATAACAAGTAATTAATATTAAACCTGAACAGACTCTGCATATACCGGTTAGGAACATACCTAAAAATTGCGTTCAGCTTATCACTATTCCCCAAGCATGAAAGTCCACCTGGGTATGGTACAAGGCCCCAAGTATCACGAAGTATCGCGCTCACATTACCACCAGGTACCTTCTCTGACCATTTCAAGGATTCGACTATAAACTAGACATGAAGGCCCTTAAATAACTGCAGTGAAAGAACTATACCTGACGAGCAAATACAACAAAATATAATATTACTGTAAAACTATTTTATTTTGTGAAAACTAACCGTGACAATTGACAATGTGATTTCATGGTCGAATAAAATCTCTTGTGCAGACAATTAACAATTCGAAATTATTTGAATGTAATATAATCGTGCAAAATTTAAGGCTGTAGTTAGACATCGGATTTGTATGTAAAATTAATTTAATCAAATGAACTAAATTCTACGGTAGTCATTGCGTTTTGTTTTTTCGAGGTAGTATAATCATTATATTCCACGGCCACGGTGAACAATAAAAAGTAAAAAGTCATTACTGTAAATTGAATTACAAAAAATTGGTCCAATATTGTATGAATTGTATCATGATGTTAAATTTCACAATAACCTTACAGTCCTGTAGCACCACAATATCAAGGTCGTACGGTAATATCGAACAGTTAAGTGGAATTAAGGGAGGAAGCCTTACGTAGCCATAAAAGGTAGACACATTTTACTTTTTTATGCAACTGTGTGTTAGAAAGTTCTTTATACAACACACATTATACTAACTCTATCAGATTTTGTGGACCCTTTTGTCACATTGTCATCTCCCACCATAATTAGGTACCTTTGTATCGTGGGGGTTTGGCACGAGTATTAGAACAGAAACAGTGTGGATCACAAACATAAATAAATGACGTCACTGGCCCGAAAGTAAACGTGTTTTACTATTATTTTTAATATAACCATTTATAACTCTCAAACCCGTGACAAAACCAGATGTTAAGGTAATTACCCTAAGATTAGGGCCAGTGACGTAATTAGTTTATCTTTATGATTATGAGGGAACAGGTTCAATCCCCGGCATACCCACAAATATTTTATGTGTTTAGAACCGCTGTTAGCATGTGAACTGTGAACCTTCTTTGAAATTTTAGCCCGGGAATTTTACTTATCTTTTTATATGATAAAATAGAAACGAAGCTGTGATAATTTACCTGCTCGCTGCCTAGGCGGTTCTTGTCCAGCCATGGCGTGGTCTTCTGTCACTATGGTGGGTAACGGCTGGGAGCCCAACTCCTGCAACGAACAACAAACATTAAACAACCGACCAAACACTAAATACAGAGATAGTGTGTTACACGAGGTTATAAAAATCTGTTATATACCTCTATGTACTATTAGACCTTCACATCTAGTAGTGCGGAACCACCTTACCTTATTACTACAGGCTAAGCTTGTGTCATTATCACATAAAAAATACATTGGCGATTGGCGGGATATGGACCCTGGACCTCGGACAACGAAACACTGAGCTCTAACACTAGAGTTCGCTCTCTATTGTCTATACTAATTGTGCATTTACTATACTTATTCATCCTAATTTCAATTATTCCCAAAATGTAAGGGACGAATGATAAGTTGTTTTTTTTTTAAATATAATTTACTCACACAGTGATGTATACTATAATAAGATAATAACTTGAATCTATAATACCTCTATTACGCAATAGGTTTTGTTTTCTGTAGATTTCGTGTTTTGTTTACAATTTGTTTCTATTATTTTATGGTTAGTTTCTCAATATTTGTGTCTCACTGTTTGGTTTTATAGCTAGTGGACGAGTTATTGTTTATGATTAGATAGTTTTATTTGGTTAAACGATGTTTTAAATTACTGAAATAGCAAGAAACAAATTGTAAACAAAACACGACATCTACAGAATAGTCCAGGAGCTGAGGGGGGTTGAGCATGCATGAAAGTAGTACGCAATGTTATTGCTGATTATTGTAATATGGACTGTGGTGATCAAAATTACGTATGTCGCCTATTTCAAAAGTGGTCGATAAGGTGGGGGGGAGGGGGCAAACATGGCGGTTTGCGCTATGCGTTAAAACGCTGATAGTTCGAAAACGGTAAAAGATAGAACATCGGTTAAAACGTCGTTGTAATCTTAAAAATGTGGACAACAATAATGGTCATTGGGTCCGAGGTCGTATCTCTATAAATAAACAAGTTATTGTATAAAATATGTAAAAATGGACTTTTCGTGTATTTTTTTTACCGAAAGTAGAATTAATTTGTGAGTGTCGCAAAGAAGTAATATCAAATATCTTTGCTGATATTTGTAATATGAACTGTGGTGATACAAAATACGCATGTCGCCTACTTTTCAGGTGGTCGAGAACTTGGGGGGAGGGGGGCAAAGATGGCGGAACGCGCTATACATCGAAATGACTGTAGCTCGAGAACGGTACGAGATAGGACATCGGTTAAAACGTAGTTTTAATCCAAAAAATATTACCAATAGAAAAGATCATCGGGTAAAAAGTCGTATCTTAACTAATAAAAAAGTTATAACAATAATAAGTTTAACAAAATCTACATCGTACAGCTATTTTTTTTCGAAAATCGTATGGATTGTTGATAAATAATAGTGTAATTACTTAATTACTCGGCTAAATATTAACTAGATGCATTTTCTTATAAGAAAAAAATATATTATTACGAATACATTTGGTTTAAAATGTAAAACACGGCCTCCAAACGCCTTGGGGTTCGTCCGTTAGGTTGCGTTATAATTGCTGCTGTTTTTAAAATAATGATTGCTTGTATTTTGTATTTCATTATACACTGAGTATATAAATGAAATAATGATAAATAAATAATCAAACAAATAAGATAATAATTAAATATGAAATATAATATATAGTAGTTTAATTCCATTGTAAATATAAACACCATAAACTTTAAATTTCTTGACCGCTCTCATGCATTAATTATATATAGATGTATATACATTTGTATCAAAGAAAATATTTACAATTTTTTTATTTGTATTACAGGTGCTAAGAGAAATTAAAAAAGTACCTATTTAAATTCAACAAATAATATGAACAACCAGTGTAATTGTTATGGATAGAATGAAGAGATTTGCCGTATTTTTTTATTATAAGGTATTTATTTTTGTAGTCATGTTTTTTTATTTCATATAACTGTATTAAATAAGAATCTGTTACATAATCATATTGTAATAACCTACAACATTATAATAATTAAAATTGGATTTGTAGTGGTAGTCTGTATTATGCATTTGATTGCGGCGAAACCCCAAGTATTATATGTAGTTTGGAGGCCGTGTTTTACATTTTAAACCAAATGTATTCGTAATAATATATTTTTTTCTTATAAGAAAATGCATCTAGTTAATATTTAGCCGAGTAATTAAGTAATTACACTATTATTTATCAACAATCCATACGATTTTCGAAAAAAATAGCTGTACGATGTAGATTTTGTTAAACTTATTATTGTTATAACTTTTTTATTAGTTAAGATACGACTTTTTACCCGATGACCTTTTCTATTGGTAATATTTTTTGGATTAAAACTACGTTTTAACCGATGTCCTATCTCGTACCGTTCTCGAGCTACAGTCATTTCGATGTATAGCGCGTTCCGCCATCTTTGCCCCCCTCCCCCCAAGTTCTCGACCACCTGAAAAGTAGGCGACATGCGTATTTTGTATCACCACAGTCCATATTACAACTATCAGCAAAGATATTTGATATTACTTCTTTGCGACATTCACAAATTAATTCTACTTTCGGTAAAAAATCTACACGAAAAGTCCATTTTTACATATTTTAAACAATAACTTGTTTATTTATAGAGATACGACCTCGGACCCAATGACCATTATTGTTGTCCACATTTTTAGGATTACAACGACGTTTTAACCGATGTTCTATCTTTTACCGTTTTCGAACTATCAGCGTTTTAACGCATAGCGCAAACCGCCATGTTTGCCCCCTCCCCCCCACCTTATCGACCACTTTTGAAATAGGCGACATACGTAATTTTGATCACCATAGTCCATATTACAATAATCAGCAATAACATTGCGTACTACTTTCATGCATGCTCAACCCCCCTCAGCTCCTGGACTAGAAAACCGAAGAGAACTAACAATAAAATTGGCTTCAGCTGTTCCATAAGGATGGGAAATCTGTTAAAACTAGATGAATCAAACTCTTACTAACCATAGGTCTTATTTTAGAAAAGCAACTTTATTTGAAAAGAAAAAAAATATATATATAACTTTTTCAGCACTGGAACGTTTCTGCAAATAGTCGCCCATAATTTAACAATGTCTGCGTTTATAAGATACCACACAGCTTACTTTGTACAAAGAGTACATAGAACAAAGTATCGGCGGCTGAAAGAACGTCCGTCGGTGGGCGGGATGGGAGCGAAACAACCAATATAGTTGAAACAAACAAGATCAGCTGTTGAGCAGCTTGTCCTGATAGCAGCGAGGAGAGGCCAATTGGTACTTATTGAGCGCTGGATATTACTGGATAAACTACTTAACATCCCGAATAATATACTGTTGTCAAATGGTTGATTTACTGGATAAATATGTCAACAATCAAATATGCCATGGATCATTGTGCTGCTAATAAGTGGTCCTGGATGAGAAATCAGCTGATCCTAATCAGTAATAAAGCTAAACAAGAAATATTCCTTTCTTACAATCATATATAAAAATATTCAGCATAATTTTGGAAACATTTTCTGTAAAAATCACTTAGAATATTTTAGCACAGATTGCTACTTTTAAATTTACAATCACCTTTAAAACGCTGCAAATCGATACAAATTAAGTTTTAGATAAAATAATAATGAAAGAAACTTTAAGTAGTTTGACTCACAAGCTGATTAAAGCTACGCAAATGTCTGGAAGGTAAAATTATTTCCATTTTGCACATGAATACATAAAGATCTGATCGAAATATTAAAAAGGTTTTACAATTAGTTTACTGAATAGATGTGGTACGTTTGGATGTAAAACAAATTTCTATGATGTTTCATTACTCTACATACCTTCCACAGCTCTTAGTAGAACGTGCAATGGTTCTCTGAAAAGATTCATAATTTATCTCCCAGCATATTCAATTAACTAACACCAAATGTGGTTTAAAATTTGAAAACTAAAACATCAGTATAGTTAATTATTTAAAGCACTGCATTATCATATTCGTATAAAATATAACATAATACATTGGTGTGTTTATGTAACCAAAACCTAGAAAAAACAAATGTAACAAACAATGTAGGCCTAACTATAAAATCTTGGCTTTGTTAAATCAATCAGCCCTACGCATTCAGAATGCCAACACAGCACAAAGGTGAACGTGTATAGCATAGCGATGAGAATTGAAGGCGAAGCCTATAAACAGATTTGATTACTGGGCTACATAATTATCACATGGTATTGTCCACGGTACTGGTACTACTGTATTTACTGAATTAGCACACTTTGTTATTATAATATCCGTGCCGGGAATACAAATTTACGTCCCCACAAAATTATCACTAATATATTGCACATGCCCTACCTAACAAACAATAACCAATGTTTAATAAATAGTTATTCTCTGTAATAACATTGAAACGACGGATCCCTCCTTATACTGTGGTATAATAACAATAACACATTTTAAAACAGTTATAAACATTCAAAATTATTCTTACAACTTTCACTATCAAAATACGGATGAGACCATAATGTGGTCCTAACAATATTTATACTGTAGAAACATTGACCTAAATAGCAAGCAACGATTTGTGTTCTGCTTATTGGTGGAAGTTAGCCAATCGGGAAGAGCTTTAAAGCTCAAGGGGTTTACCATATTCAAACTCTAAATCTTGTTCGAATTGGTTCAAACTATATATATAAAAAGAATCCATACTGGTCGCTATTGATTGTAGATATTTGCATATAAAATAAGATTCCTAAGATCTCATATTAAGACCCGGTACCAATTTGTTTAAATTCGTTTTAAGGTCTCAAGAGGCTAAAAACACCGTCAATTCAAAATTCACATATGGATTTTTTTATGGGTAAATATTTTGATCAAATTTGGCAATTTTTTGATTTAATTCTAAGCTATTGACATTTTACTAAAAACTCACTCTGTGACATTCCTTGTCTTGTACACAGTAGCAAACCTAAGTACTCATTTAGCCTAACTTGATTTTAAAAGGGAATGAATCAGAAGTATGTGAATAGATACCT